TCTGACATTTGAGAGAGTTGTTGCTAGGCGTAACTACCCATCAGATAGTATTCCATCCTTTATTTAGTGCGGCCAATTCTGGCCTTATGGTTTTTGGAAACAGTGGCTCTATCTTTGGAATTTCTATCAAGTGTTCTTGTAAGTTGTGGGACATGTATTTTTTGTAGCCATGAAATTGACATATGGGAATCTGAATGCTGAAAATTTCTTTTTCTATCCCTTAAGTTTGATAATTTCTGTGTTGACTTTACCAAAACATACAAAATACCGTCCTCAGTATGAAATGATCGCCAATTTGTTTCACCTTATGAAAAATTTTCCTGTTTATCTTTTCAAGGCTATTCATTTGCTTTCATTTCCCAACTTGATCACAGGAAGCAGCGGAGAAAATTGAAAAGGAGAATACAAATAAGAAGTCGAAGTCTGGTGGTGGAAAGAAGAAGAAATAAGTCATTTTTTTCCTTTGAAGTGCCAAATTGGTTGGTGGAGCCAGTTCTATGCTGGCAAGGTAAACTTGTTTACAACAATGAACATTAGTAATTATTTCTTTTTTGTTGCTTCTTAAATTTGTCATATCTTTGCAATGAGCAACCTCTCGGTAGAAATGTGAGTGTGCTACTGTAGAAACATCTTAAATCTATTGTTTAACTAGAATACGTATACATATCTTTGCATGATTTATTCAGAAAAGTAATTAGTATACTTAATAGCTTTAACTGGAGAGTTCAAATTGTGGGTCTATGGAAATTGGAACGTGTGTGATTTCTTTTAAGATGCTGTTTAAGTGACAATAAACTTAACTGGATAGAGTTTAGACATGATGACCGTGAAAAATTAGGATCTAAATGGATCCTGGTATACATTTCTTGGATAGCTGGTGAAATACAAATGAAAGATCAAACTATCAAGTCCAAAAATTCGTGTAATGTCATGCTTCTTGATGAAGCTTTTTGCGTCATGCCTTCTTGTCTGCACTTAATTATCATATCTGCTGTTGTGCTTTCCACTTACCATGTGAATTACACCAATCTCTTCTTTCCTTCCATGTACTCGAAAATAATATCCTTTCCTGTTAATTCCTCTCTGTGCAAGCATGCTTGGTTCAGAGCATTCTTCATCATTGGCCGATACTTGCAGTAGTCTTTGTGTTATTGCAATTTGTAGTTCAAGATATTCCACTTTAGGCTCTCATTTCTATAGGATTGGACTGAACTTATTATCATGATTTGGCCCACAATTTTTTCTGTTTTTTTTTGTGTTTGTGTGTGTGTGTGTTGTTGGGGGGGGGGTGTTGTTTGGGTGGTGTTGGAATTTTCCATTTTACTGTGATTTGGTTTCTGCAGGTGAGGAATTTCCAGATGCCGCAACAAACTTGGGATTTCCAGATGGTGCGACAAACTTGTGTTTCTTCTTGTGCTGAAAATGTCCGTCAATGAGATGTGTAATATGACTGCAGGATGATGTGTCTCTGGATTGGTAGACCATTTTGTCATCTTGGCTTTAATTCTAGTGTACAGTTGTTCACGATGTCAGAGAATTTCGTCCTCTAACTGCTAGTCCTTTTGAATATCTATTGAGAATTGAGCTCTATAAATTTTCATACCAGGAAGGCAGTTGCTGTAGCCATGTTAAAGACAAAATGATTTGCTCGCCAAAATATGCAACTCCTAGGTTACGAATGGAGAAATGGCATGGTCCTTGCACGTGGCTTCTTCGCAAGGTCAATGCGCACAAGTCCAGGAGTCTTCCAAATTTTTGTTAATTAGTAATCTAATAACACTAAGAATTTAATGCAAGTCAGGCATCGATTTGTCTGCAAAAGATTCTCTTCACTCGTACCAATTAGCTTCGTCTGTTGTTATGCACACGGGCTCCATGGGTTAAGACTGGCTAAGGCGGATAACAAAAGGAGAGCATGGCCATGGAATAGGAGAGTTAGCAATAAATTCCAGGTGCCTGCTTTTAATTTCCTTGGACTACGATCACTTCCTAATTGTCACGATCTGCGGCTCCATCACACGGAAGACAATCTGAAAGCAGTCACTCCTTAAGGTACAAGACCTTATGAGCTCCTTCAACTCAATTGTCAATCGAACCACCACGGGTACTTTGGTGGGGGAAGTTTTAGATGAAGTTGGTAATTAGCGTATTCAACCTGGGGAAGGAGGTGAGATGATTGATGTTCATATGTCGGGTTACACTTCAGCATTTCATGAGAATGATACGTACGTACTTGCGGTAATTCTCTCTCTGGATACATATTGGCTTCTGATGCTGCTGCCATTGAACACTGATGTCTTAGGTCTAGAGTGTAGATAAGCCAGCACTTCTTTGTTCTGATCTATTGCTATCTGATACTATTTGATAAAGAGGGTGCAATTATCGGCTTTTGCCCATTAAATAGAATGAAAATATGAGTGCAGCATCTTTTGTTCATCTCCTAAAGTCCAAACCGCAAAACGATCTTCTCATGTTTTCCATTAGCAGCTGCAGCCAGTTTGAGAAAGATACTGAACAGGAGAAAATATCCATGCCAAGGACCCAATATCCTTCCTGGTGGATATTCTAAGCGGACGCCCTACTAGACGTGACCCCTGTGTCGAAGGGTCTGCCAAAGATGGAAGGCCTTATCAGTTAACATCACATTTTCTTGAGTTGCATATGAAACATACTCTTCCATCCATCATTACCCAGAACAGGTGAAGGGATGTATGCTTGGTTAACAAATGGCCGTCAGGAGTAACAAAAAAATAACCCCAAAATCCCCACTATCTACCTTCAGCACCGTAGATGCATGGATCTCCGAACACACAAACAGTTCATCATACTCAATCCTACCACCGAGGAAATAGTTGAGATACTCACCCCACTTCGAACTCGAATTTATGCAGTCTTTTCCACCCCTCCCTATATCAACCCTTTGTGCCATATGTGGTAATATTCAAGAAGGAGCCGTGCAATTCAAGTTTCTCAATCTGGGATTAGATTCTTGCTGAAGAAAGCTTCGATCAACTCGTGCAAGTTCACACCAACCCGGCTTAAAACTATGCTGTGAGGTGAGTCCAACTCTAATCTTCTTCTATTTAATCTCTTGGTCGATGATTGCTGAGTTGAGGCATGCCACATATTTAGATCCTAATATTAAAATTTATGTGCACCATGTTTTATACATTAAAATAAGGATAATTTCACAAACCTCCCTGAAGTTTTTAATAATTATAGAGAACTCCCTTCAAATTTTAAAAATTACATATGCCTCCCCTACTTTTACTGTTTAGCAACAACTAGTTTTGTAAGCCTCGCGCAACGCGTGAGGTTGCCCCCAGCTTGTGTTGATCTAATTTAATTGATGGTAGGTAGTTTGGGGTAAAACATTTGGGTTGTCAAAATGTGGTGAACTGTGGCAGACTATCATGTGCGGTGGCAAGATTGGTTTTGTTTGTGAATGCATGGGTGCCATATATTTTTATTGAAATTGACACTTGGTAGTTTGGTTCATAGTTGTGTGACAACTATTATGTTATATGATTTTTTGTGAATTGACGTGGAGGTTTTGTTCTATAAGAATGTGGAATGTCTTGTTAAAGGATGTGGGTGGTGGTTGTTCATTTTCTTCTCAAGTATTTTGATGATAGGTTTTTCTAATAGTTGTAAGAATATAACAGTATTGTAGTAGTATATTTATAAAAGAATTATTTTGATATAGGAGTTTTGGCGTAGTGGTTTGCAAGTTTATAAATTTTTTTTTTTTTTTTTTTTGCATTAGTATGGAGATGAATTGTGCGTCTATTAATCAATTAAATGATAATATGTATGCCTGGGTTATTCGGATTGTGGTGGTAGAAAAAAGCCTTATTCGACATGCTCATTATATGCGACGTAGATATCAGCATTATGTTTTTGCTGATAATTTGGTAAGCAAGAATTGTTTTTTTTTTACTTTATTTTATTTGTGTTTATGTTTAAGACTTACGAAATTTTTGTTTGTAGGGTGATCGGATTCAAGCGATTGTCTATTTAAATGATGTCTATGTCTTAGACGAGTCTAGAAAGGCGGCGAGCCAGGGAATGAACCTTGCTAATAAAACTTCCATACTCTGCAACCATGGAGTAAAGGCCAATCTCGACTGTTGCAACTTTCTTTACTTTTTACTCTAGCATTTGAATTCTGAAATATGACTCAGCTTCATAATTACAAGATTCATTTCTTAATGTTTTCATTTGATTTTCTGCAACAGTTTGCTTATGATATTTGGATTGTTTCTTTCATTCTTTCGTTTTTTGGCGATACTATAGGTAACAGTTGTTTGGTCAAGGCAGTCTATATACTCGCTACATACTCCATACATATTGTGATAGCTATCAAATAAGATAGAAGATTCAGCTATGTTTAAACATTTCCATGCTAGTTAGCTTCTAGAGGACGAGGTTTCAATTGCTTACGATAAGGCACACAGTGATAAAGTAATTCTAGTGTTCCAAAAGTATTTGATCAACAAAAAAAGTTCCTAAAAGCAATTTTTGACATAGGATGAATGTTAATCAAGAAAAACTTTGTGTTATACATTTTCAATATTTTTTGTTCTCAAAGCAATGACCAACGTGTAATCATCAATGTAGGTCAATCATAGACAGGATTTCTTTGTATACGATATTTTTTGTGGAGTTTGTGTGTTTAGAGAAAGAAGTAAGCTGTCTAATAAGTACTTTCACATTGTTTTCTATTTTTCCCGTGATAATGCAACATATAATTGATCATGTGAAAATACAGGTTCTTTTAGATATAAGCCAATGTAATCTAACGTCTGTCTTTGTGTTTTGTTAATTGTCATTGCAAAACATAATCTTAAAGGGAATTGAATTCTTTTAAAGGGAACGGAGCAAAGTTCATCATCTGAACATTTTAAAGGAATACGAGGTATGAAAACTGACTTATCTGTAAATGAGCCAAAAGAAATATCTGCTTGAATGACATTATTTCCAAACTCTTTGCATATAAGTCACGTGCCATTTGAAAGTCCTTCACTTGGTTTTATATTTCGGATTAACATAACAGGACAGTTTTCTTTCAGTTTTAATTCATGTGGAGGCAATCCTTTTGGTGTAAGTGTGTTCAGAAAATCTTGGTTTTCTAGTTGGTGTGATGCATCAAGAGTTTCATCAAAACTTAGATATGTTTTCCGAGGACCTGGGAATTTGTCGATTAGCATATCATTGATTTCATGAACAAAATCGTTTCGTGTCATTAAGATAGCTCTATTAACAATGGAGGATGGATTATTGTTGAATGCCTCCATATCTGGGAATACCATACTCACTAAAGTCTCTACTGATGAAGCTTCATCTATAAAGGGTACATTCATTGGTGTTGGGATCTTGACTTCATTCATATGATTTGATAGCTCTGTCATTACCAATTCGAAGCAAAAAATTGCTGAAATTTTTATCGGAACAAGCTCGCATATTTCCCGTAGCTTCAGTTTTGTTAATTGTTGCCATATAGGTGACATGACTAAGCTTGCATTCATAATATCTTTCTTATAGCCTTGTGTCACAACTGGTAATGTTTGCCGAAAATCTCCTCCGAAAACCACAGTTTTACCACCAAATAACGCATCGCAACCAATGACATCTTTCATCATTTCATCAAAGCGTTCGATTGATTTTTGTTTTGCCATACTTGCTTCATTCCATATAATAAGTTGTGCATCTCTAATTAACTGTGCATTGTGCAATTGTAGTTTGCTTTCCAACGTGACAACTTTGGAATCATCATCATGTAGAGGTACCTTAAATCGCGAGTGTGTAGTACGACCTCCATGTAAAATTGAAGCTGCAACGCCTGAAGTTGCGGTTGCAAGTGCTATACCACCTGTTGATCTTATTTTAGCAAGAAGAGCTCGATACAAAAATGTTTTCCCTGTACCTCCTGGTCCATCTACAAAAAATGATGTTAAGCTACTATTTATAATGGCATTTAAGATCTGTTCATAGGCATTGCTCTGATTCTTGTTTAATTGATCAATTGCCGGAAGATCATTCTCATCTACAGGTATATTTCTCTCAGTTTCTATATCTTTTGCTACTACTTCTTGCTAAGATTGTTGGATTTGTGGTGTGTTCAACTGATAATCAGCCAAACTTTTTTCCATTGATTGTAAGTAGTTGTCAATGCATTGTAGCACTTTCACTTCTACAAGATGAATTGGGATTGAAGAATCTCGCTTTATATCTTCAGATAGAAAGTCTTGAAATTGTAGCCATAGTTGAGCAGGGTTCCTTGGACTGCAATAAACTAAGATAGCATCAAATAATTGACGCAATGAATTTGGCATTTGATATAGAACTGCTTCTGATAAACATAGCTCGCTGCATTATCTGTTTGTAATAGTCCCATCATATCCGCAGCTTCACGGAATGAAGTACAAGCATGTCCATTCATAGTTCTTAAATCTAGGAATGAAGTCGGTTTCCTTACATGCATCAATAACATTCGTAAATAATACCTTTCTCCTTCTGATAGATGCGCACCTAAAATGCGGCCAATCACTTTCCTTTGCTTACGTTCCTTCCAAATTTTTGATTGCTGGTTCCATTTGAAATATTCAGGAAATTCTGCATATACACAATTCAAATTCTTTGCATAGTTGTCGTACTTGTTCATGAGAAAAAACTCTGTTAGCATGGTTTTTTGTAAAGCTCGATTTTTTAGAACACTATGGAGAGAGCTTTTTTGGAACTGTTACTGGTTGTTTATTCTCTAAATGTACTTGTAAAGTCATGACAGATAGATGTATTTGATTCAAATCAAAGCCAAAAATTCGCCACATTGCCTCAGGAGGGGATACCCATCTTGCGGCAACATAATTTTTTTATTTCATCTATAGTGCTACTTGTCTCAATATCACTCAACTGATACAAAACTCTATCATACTTCTTGTATATATATTTATATATATACTTGACAGCTTGAATTGTGGAGCATATCTCAACATTAATATGGCAATTAAATTTTGCTAAGAGGTAAGCATTATAACGTACTACCCAACGATTATCAAGATAATGGCCATGTATCTTAACTTTGTTCTTGTCATTTTGTCGACGATATACTGGATATGAGTTGGTTGTATGTATTGTTGACTCACAGAATTGCTTGGGATACTTGTCTTTGCAACCGATATGCTTACGCATACAAGCACATGTAGAATTCATAGCACCACAAGGACCATGCATCATGTGTTTAACAATGAGACCATGTAAAAATTCATGCTAATTCATATCAGGCAACTCAGCACAAACAATTCAGTCATAAGCTTCAGGAGAATACATCTTACTTCCTTGTTTTAGAATAATGAAGTGAGCATGTGGCAGACCTCGTTTTTGGAACTCAATAACATACGTGTATGCTGCTACCTTTCCAAAAATATTCTTCTTGAATAGTTCATTTTTTAATTGTTCCAATTTTGCTCTGAATACACGAGAAATTAAATCAGGCCGATTCTCAACTTTTTCAGTTTGAAGAAGGAAACGTTTAATTTTAGGCCAGTTTCGATTACATGTCATTGTTAAGAAGATGTCTGGTTTTCCATATTGTTGGACCAATGACATTGCATCCATGTAACGACGCTTCATATCATGAGATCCTCCAATGAATGATCCTGGAAGAACTATTCTTTTTCCAACATTGGAAGACGAAGATTCTCCCTGCGAGAGACTATCAATAAGGCCTTGATATAATTTTGTTCGAAGCCGCGTTTGATTATCATTCTGTCTATAGAAATCCAACCTTGTTGATTCAATTTTGACATACATATCTACAACATATTGCTGTAGCAATCTCCCTATATGCAATAGCATAGATTGGTCGTTCTCTCTAATTTGTAGTCTGTAACAATAGTACTCTCTACAAGAGACCATATTGCGCTTTCGCTTGTTCTTTCAAATTGCTGGCCAATAGTAGTTAGGCACAAGTAAGGTTTAGTTTTATAATACAGTATCATTTAAAAGTAATAAAAAAATTAGAGTAAGAAATAAATGAAGTAAATAATTTGCTTAATTAGTATAAGAAAATCCTATATAAACTTATCGAAAAATATAGAACATAGCATAGAGTTAATTACCTGAATTCTCAGCATTCATTAATTGGTTTGTGTTGTCCCAGCACTTGGAGTTAGCTTTAGTTCTTCCTCGCAAGAAGTTGCTTGGCATGCATTTGAATTTCGTGGAATACGTTTTATGCCTTGATGCCAACCTGGTTCACCACTTGCAAAAACGAGTAGATATTGTAATAGATCATAATAACTAAAGTAATGTTTGATAATTTGAGTTTTTTCATTTTTTCCATAAACTTGGATATGCTTTGACGTCATTTGTTCACTATCACAATTATCTGTCCAAACGGCACCAACTTGCGATATAGTTGGTTTGTTGAATACTTTTTGATCCACTGAAGGGCTAGATTCTAATATTATTTTATAATTTTCTATGCTTGGTAAATTTTGAAGGCCTTGAAAAAATGCAGAATAAGGATTAATCTTCAAGATTTCCTCAAGTTTGGTAATTAGGCTCTATTGAAATCTAGTAGAGATGGATAACCGATTTACTGTTTCATGATCAGTATAAAAAACATATAGTTGCACATTCCTTGCCTTTTCACCATCATTAGGAATTAATTGATTTATAAAGTGGTACATTTTGGCCTTGGATTCTAAAGGTATATATTTCATTATAAGACTGATTCAATGATTTGTCACAATTCACCCCAATAGATGTGAATGCAAACATATTATTGTAACTTCTAACGCAGTTGCGAAATTCAACAGCCTCTTTAGAATCCTCAAGGTACAACATCATCAGTTCTCTTGGCATTTCAGTTGGGAGTAACTGGATCTCACCAGAAGAACAACAAAATCTAGGTGGTTCTAGATGAAATTTCTTTGCTTTACATGCTGGCAATCTGGAATATCAGGTAATATATCAGGTTCAGTGGCAATAATTCTCAATGGATCCATTGCTAATCTCTTACGTCGCCTCTGTCTTGTAGCATCCTGTTGAGCTAACTGATATGTTTTGTCTGGTGGCATAGATAGAACATTACTATCAGTAATGATAGGTATCGAGCATGTATCTCTTGAATAATTAGCAACACTGCTCTTAGAAGTTGATGCTAAAACTGTTGATTCTACATTCATTCCTTTTACACATTCATGCATTCCTCTGACGGATGTTTCTGCACAATCTTCTTTTGTTCTGTAATCACTTACATGACTGATAAAACTACCTTTTGAATGTGAATAGGTTGCTATAACATACTGCTCGTCTTGATTGTTTATTCCTTCAGTGTTCATGCTAACCTTACCTTTATATCTCAATTCCATAGTTGAACGGCTATTGAAAGACTCTTTGATGGACACACGAAATTGTGTTGTAGCAGCAGTACCTATTCAGAGGAATAAATATTTCATTGATCTTTGTATTAGCATAATTGATATCTTTAAAACTTGGCACTCCTCATACCAATCGTAGCCTAACAGAACTTGGACAAATTAGCTAAAGTAGCAGTATTATTAGAAGGGTGTGACAGAGAGTCTTTTTTCTAGTTTATTTAGTCATCTTCACCAAATAGACCAGGATGACTGATATATAAATTGATATAACATGGGTGTCCTTACTGTGCACAGCTCACATATGGTAAATGCATTTATAGTCATAGCACACATGGCTTGATATTTACCAGAATTATCCATGGTACTCGCATTGGCACGTCGTTCCCGTCTTCTTGCATTCTTCCCTCTATAGGCTTCTTCTAAGTTTGCATATTTCGGTCGGCGACCCATTAAAAAAGCTTAGCTATACATAAGTAAGAAGATTTCAATAAAAATGCATGCCCAATGAAATTAGTAGTAGAAAGGCAATTAATAAACAAATGAAAGGTACTTGTACGTCTAATATGCCAGTAAGAATCATCACATATTCATTAACATGGTTCACTGAAGTATTATAATCGTGTAAACATTTCGACTCATTAAGCCTTTCAGTATAAAGACAAAACTACGAAAACGTAAAAATAAACCACAGACCTCACCTTGCAAAATCAGACAATGAAAGTTTTCAATTGGGAAAAAAGGTTGCCTATGAGGGAAAAAAAATACGACAAAGTGGCAAAGGTTTAAGCAAAGAATGGTGCGTAAAAAATCAAGAAAATCGAATACATGCATGGCATAGTAACTGAAATATAAGTGCTATGTAGAGGCAGTTAGCGTAAAAGAAGCACTATGTTCTTATATACAACACGACGGCATCACTGAATTATGAGTAAAGTCAGAGCAAGAAGTAGAAAGTAGGAGTACAAAGGAACAATAATAAAAGACTCACTCTTGCAGCTAACAGAAAAACACTGGCATGACCTAAAGAATCCAGAGAAGGCTTTGTATAGAATGATAGTCTTCTAGTATGCTGCTAAATATATATCTTTCGAGTTGGGATTTCTACAGGAATGATAGTCTTCTAGTATACTGCTAAATATATATCTTTCGAGTTGGGATTTCTACAGGTTAGTGAGTACACAAATGCACCGCACGAAAAAGCAAGAGAAGATTACACGTAGCTTATAAACTTAGTGAGTACACAAATGCACCGCAAAAAAAAACAAGAGATGAGTACACAAATGCACCGCAAGAAAAAGCAAGAGAAGATTACACGTAGCTTATAAACTTAGTGAGTACACAAATGCACCGCAAGAAAAAAAAGAGAAGATTACACGTAGCTTATAAACTATGCATGATGCAGTATAGGTGTCCGTGATATGAGCAGTTTACAACTGAGTGCAAAGTTCCCTCATGGCACCGCAGACAAACAGCAAATTGGTAGGAATAAGAGGAAACACGCCAGCGAAGAAACACGCGGACAGAAGCAAATTCCCAGCAAAGCCACTACCACTGAATGACAAACGACCAAAATGCCCCTCAAGCTCACACAAATAACAGTATAACCGGACCATAAGGCACTGTTCACAATCCCAACTCTCACTTTTAATATAGTAAGGATATAAGTCCAACAATTTAGATTTTTTCACAAAATTTCTAAATTACCCTTTAGACTAACAAAAATATAGTATACTCAATTATTTTTTTTCACACTTTGCACAAATCAACAAACCTAATTCCTAACAATCATCCAAGCATAAGTTTTAAAACCAAAATAGTCATCTAAAGGATCCCAAATTACATATACAGTATCAATACTTGCTACGTAAAACACACACACACACACACACACACAAACCCTATTGACAATCAATTTTATACTCCAAAATCAAATATCAATGCTCAAATATCTTTTCAATACAAATTAATCTGACTTAGAACCGCTATTACAACCCTTCTATGGTTTTGAAAATATTAATATCTCAAAAATAGAGAATAAATCCTTCCTCCACAATAAAATCATAATAAAAATTTCTAATCCAATGAAGGAAATCCTTATGTAATTATTGACAGTTTATAAAATTTTTTCTTGACAACGAACAAAATATGATAAATTCAACATCTTTAGTTCTTCTTCCCATTTCAATCATCAATTTCATTATTTATTTCTCTATCATTGCGAGTCTCTTTATTCCCTTCTAACTTAACACATAATCTGATTCCTCTGTTGATTTTATAATTTCAATTTGCTAATATCTACAAAATTGAAGATAATAAAAAGAGGTTATATTAACTAAAAAAGAAAGGAGTGAAAATAGACAAGAAACAGAAAAATAGATTTTTTTTGGGGTTTGTAAATTTATTGCCTTAAATTTAAAATTTTCTACCAAGTAGAGGGCATTATAGGTATTTTACTATCTCAAGAGAGGTAAGTGTAATTTTTTAAACCTGAGGGGAGCCGAGTGAAATTGTCAAAAACATCAAGGGAGGTTTCTGAAATTATCCCTAAAAATAATTAATTCGTTAAAAAATTGAGGGAGTATCAATACTGATACAGTTGTACAACCGCTACTTGTATTATAGAGCACACCAATAGCGATAAGGATCATAGGCTTGCGATTCTTGAAGGAAGGGAAAGAACCTTCATGGATTCAACTGCTAATTCCTTCATATTCCTTCCTCTTTTCCTTCTACCGCCTCTCTTCTGGCTCATCCTAAATTACATCAAAAGTAGAAACCAATCTCTTCCTCCCGGCCCAAAGCCATGGCCGATTGTTGGAAATCTCCCACAAATAGGAAGCAAGCCTCACGTTGCATTAGCCCAACTAGCCCAAGATTACGGCCCATTGATCTCCCTCCGGCTAGGGAGTCAACTTGTGGTTGTTGGGTCAACCCCGGCAGCGGCCACCGAAATCCTCAAGACCCATGATCGGATACTCTCCGGCCGGCACGTCCCACATGTTTCATACGCCAAGAGTCCCCTCATGAACTATGTTTCAGTCGGCTGGACTTATGAGTGCACAGACCAATGGAAGTTTTTACGTACACTTTGTAAAAGTGAAATTCTGGGTGCAAAAGTGATCGAAAACCAGTCCCATTTGAGAGAGCAAAAGGCGAATGAGTTGGTCCAGTTTTTGGTTTCAAAGGAAGGCCAGAGGATCACGATTGCAGAAGTTGTATTTGTTTCTGTATTCAATTTCTTGGGACAAATTTTTTTCTCCAAGGACTTCTTAAGTTATGATGAGGTAGAAAATGGTGGTGGAATGAGTGAGCTTATAAGGGAAGTCATGGAGCTGTGGACTGCCCCAAATATATCAGACCTGTATCCAGTTTTAGGTGGACTGGACCTCCAGAGATTGAGCAAGAAGGCTAGTGTATGTCACAACAAAATCTGCAGTGCATGGCAAGAGATCATTAGAGAGAGAAGAGGGAAGAAATACCAAGATTCAACGAGGCAGAAAGATTTCTTGGATGTGTTGCTTCAGAATGATTTCTCAGACGATCAGATTAATTACTTGCACCTGGTAAGAACTCTCTTTCCTTCCTCTCTTTCTCTTTATCTGGTCAACAACATTAAAAAATAGGGATAATTTCAGAGACCCCCCTGAGGTTTACAATAATTGCAGTCACCTCCCCTTAATTTTTAAAATTACATCTACCTCCCCTACTTGTACTATTTAGGTAACTACGTAGACACGATATACTACATTTCTCTTCAAAAATCCTAATATACCCTTATTGACATAACAACAAAGAGAAAAGGTTAGTTTAATCATGTACAATTTCTTTTTCTAAAACCACCGCAAATTTGCCACCATACCAAGCCAATCGAGCAAACTATTATTTATAACTCAGTCTTCATTTCAAGTGATTTTAACAATATTTGCAGCCTTTGAATCATTTTGCATCCCAAAGGCTTTCACTAAAACCTACGAGATCAAATATAACCCCACTTAAAAAAATCTAAAAGCTTGCTTATAAATTTTTCAACCTCCTAGCAATAGCTAATCTAGAAAATTTGCACATGCTGCGTATATCTAGTTTCACTAGCATATATATTGCCAATATATCAAAGATTAATTCATCTTGTAGATCAAGACATCAATCTAAACTCTGGAGTCAAAAAGTATATAACTAGCGTTCACTCACGAAAGTATTAATATTAATGGTTTTGTTTGGATAGAGACTTATTTGCCAAAATTTATTTGCTTACATCATCATTACAATTTTCAATACACTTTTTTATCTTCCCAATTACCTTTTTATCTCACATACATCACATCACAAAAAGTGCTACAGTAAAAATATCTCAAATAATTTACAATCCAAACAGAATTAACATTTCATCACATGTTCCACTAAGGTTTAACATTCCGCCTTGTATGCATTATCAATTTGCACGGATATGTCCCAATTGATGTAATGAAATGCAGTTTCCTATGCACCCCCCCCCCCCCCCCCCAAAAAAACCAAAAAAAAAAAAATGGAAACCTATTACAACTCTTCAGGTTTAATTTTTCGCACATGCCATTCTATTCAAAGTTCAGTGGATAGTTATTACTCCAACATAAGTGAATTTGTCTTATAAGATGGATGGAAAAGAAATTATTTGATTTTTTTTCTTTTTAAGTCATGACATACATTATTGAGAGAAACGAATAATATGTCAATAAGAATGGCATATGAATGGGACAGAAGACTACTGCTTTTCAAATCAGCCTTGGAGGATTTAATTTTATATCTGGTGGGACAGGAACTGTTTGCTGCAGGGTCAGATACTAGCACCTCCACGGTTGAATGGGCGATGGCCGAATTATTAAGGAATCCCAAGTTCTTAGACATGATTCGGCAAGAACTTGATCAGATAGAATTCTCAGGGGAAAATTTGATAAAGGAATCAGGCTTAACCAGGCTTCCTTACCTACAAGCATGTGTTAAAGAAATCTTGAGATTACACCCTCCCGCCCCATTGCTTCTCCCCCGTCGTGCCACGGAAACATGTCAAGTTATGAACTACACTATCCCAATGGGGACTGAAGTTTTGGTGAACGTATGGGCCATTGGAAGAGATCCCAACATCTGGGAAGATCCATCAAGCTTCAATCCAGAGAGGTTTCTCAGTTGTGACTTGGATTTCAAAGGGAATGACTTTGAATTCTTGCCTTTTGGTGCTGGAAGGAGGATGTGTCCTGGATTGCCTATGGCAGCTAGGCAAGTATGCTTGACCTTGGCTTCTTTGATTTATCATTTTGAGTGGTCTCTCCCAGACAACATGCTACCTCAACACATGGACATGAGTGAAAAATTTGGAATAACACTGCAAAAGGAGCAGCCTTTGGTCATTATGCTGAGCAGCAGAAAATGAAAATCAGTGAACAGAATAATTTACAGTAGCATTTTCATCATTATATGCAAGAAAATGGACTGTAATTTGTGTACACAGTTTGGAGGTTGTCGAGTTTCAGTAAGTTCACTGTCCATTGCAGAATTACTATCTCTATGATGTAAAATTAAGTGTCACGTTATTGCTGTGCCAGCCAGGAACAACAATTTTATGTACCAAAGTAACAAGAAGAATAACAACAAAGAAAATTGACTGATTCAGAAATTTCTTCACAAAACCAAATACTATCATTAAGCACCGAGTGAAATATATATAGGCACGTAGATGAACAAAGATGGGAAACGAACCATCAAGAACAAACGTGGCTTCGTAATTGCCATCATTCAATGCACATGACACACCATTGTCATCTTACTGCATCATTCTCAATCCCATAACCCGTGAAAAGATTTGGTATTCAACCTTTTTTTATATGCAAGCAGATATAAAGAACGTAAGAGTAATTCTAACATTTGAATCAACCACGTTTGTAATTCTATTTTTTTCCATTTTGACATTCGCCTGAGCTCCTAGAATTTAGATTTCTCCCAATCAAAAAAGTCATGGCATGGATCATCTATCTATTAGTCTCCGTAGGGTCCAAATTCTGAATTTTGAAGCACAAGACATGTATCAACACCCACTGGCAACATTTGTATATTTTTGAGACATTTGAATGAACAGAATTGTTTTCATCATCCAAGCCAAGTATATACAGAAAATTTCACACAATGTTATTAATGATAAAACCCAAAAAAAACCTGGACAGATTAGTATAAATGTGAACCGACCCCAATAAAATACAGTAGGATGTGAAGGCTCACGTTTCTATCCAAGTACAAGCAGAATGGAACTGGTCAATATAATATCTACCGGAAAACATCAAGGCAGGCAAACAGCATTGTCTAATCAGCTTCAGACGCCAAAAAGCCTCAACTGTAAAGACATCTCGTACAAGGTAGTTATCATCTGCTATAACACTAGGAAGAGTTTGTTCGCCTTCATGATGAATAGATCAGGGAATGTTCTTTCACAGTGCTAGGTTACTGACTTCTCACAATGATGGCCCAACACCCTTCCCAGCTTCTCTCTACCTAAAACTCCCCTTCCCAGAGAAACCAAACTTTGATACCAACATTAGGCAGTAGAACATCAGAAATTTTATGATGGGCAAGAATTTAACCTTTACATCGACTTTTTAAGCCGCTTTTGCTGAGAATCAGATATGTGGAACATAAGCTGCAATTACCAGTTGACAGGTTAGTTATACTCTTTGTATGAAGGATTTAAGTCAAGCTTAATAACCAAATATTCATAAGTTTCTTTACCTTAGTCCCAATATAGAAGCTAATGAACATGCCACCAAATGTAGGTAATCCTGCATTATCAGAACATACAATTAAAGTTGGCACTGTGATGTCTCAAACAAGATTAGACAGAAAAGCATTAACCTTCTTTATGGAGAAACCCAGAAATCAACCAATTAATGCCTGATGGCCCAATGACAAATCCAACAAGATTCGCCACCTGCAGAACACAATTTAAAACTTCTGTTGCAGGCTTTTCACGTAGCAAAAGCTTATAATTCCAAAGGCAAAATATTAGAAGACAATAGTACACAGCTAGGAGAGTAAATCAAAGTCATTTGACATAAGGTGCTGGATGAACCAATCATACAACAGTCTAACAGTATTCATCGTAACTCTCATGATGAATATTCATTGGGATTAGTCACAGAAGACTTGATCTAATCAGACCGGTAACTTGTATTACAAACCTAATGAAAGTCAAATGTCTTAATATTTGGAAGTGAAGCAAGTAGTTTAGCATGTGTTACAAATCTATTGTTGAGACAAATGAGGTAAACGTCATACATACATTACCAGGAAAAAAGAAAGAAGCCCAAAAGAGCGGAAACATGCACAGGAGCAGAGGTTAGAGTAAGCAATTGTACCATTTCAGAGATTTTGAGGGAAAAATACTGCCCTACAATAACAGTGTAAGATAGTTTCATCTACCATCCTTCTCTCTCATCTACCATCCTTCTCTCTCTTCTCACAGTAATCCAAGTTTGATAGCTAAATAATCAACAATTTCAACACAATTCACATAATGTAAAGCACCATCAGCATAAATTTTGTGTAATAACATACTACTTTAGCTCAAGCACGAACGAGGAGAAAACAGACCATGAGACAAGTGATGGTAACAGCACCAGCAACTGCATTAAGTTCGCGTAACAAGAATTCCCCAAAAACACTCTGCACCTGGTGACAGAGAATATGAAGCTTGAGACGACAAATCACGAAAAAAAGTTGCTTCCTAATTCCATCACAGTCCTTTTTCTTAGTCTCATAATGCTTCCAGAATGGAAAAGTAAATGTGATCTGACATGATATCATTTCTTGTGAATGAGATAAAGTATTTAATTACTCTAGAGGCTACTTTTTAGTTTGTTTAATATAACATCTCCCTTTGCTGAATAGTATGTCTTACGGCAATTATGCTGATACTTTCAAATACTCTTGATTTGCAAGGCTGGAAGCTAGTCCAGTCTTGTGTCACAAAGATAATAAGGAAGTTTAGAATCAAAGACGGTAATACTGTTCTCCTCAATTCAAATGGTTATTGCACAATTGAGTTTTGCAGAAAATTCTCACACCTTAAAAGTGTTAGCTGCTGACTTAACAAGAATCTCTGGTATGAAGAATAGACAAGTCAACCATGCCCAGGAAAGAAGTTTCCTGGATCCAAAGATGATTATCAGTCACAGGGGAAAGGTCAAAAGACACAAATGATAACTTGCAAAACATTAAAGAAGTAATACCACTCTAAATCATGCCATATGGCTACAAATGTGAAGACAACCCAAACATTTAGCAGCTTTCTTTGAGCACCTCCAAGGGGAATATACATGTACCTTTAAGCATAAGCCAAGTACTATATCAGCCCAGAGAGAGAGAGAGAGAGAGAGAGAGAGAGAGAGAGAGAGAGAGAGAGAGTACAATAAAAAATAAACAGCAAAGCCATCTACCTCACAAGCCACTTGTTGTAGGAAGCATGCCAATTTTTCCAAAAAGTCTCAAGATTGTAACAATTATTTAAGCACCTTGGCATATTCTCAGGGGCCTCAATGCCACTGATCTACATGGATATCATAGCAAAGTAGAAAACCATGAGGCCAAGAATATATCATAATTGAAAATGCTAAAAGGTCTAGATCTATGTTCTTTAAATATCCCCATACAAGAACAACATGAGGCATCAGCTATGAAGAAACATATATGCAGGCATATACGTATTAGCTTCACAAACTACCAGTGACCAGAATCGAAAATATCGCCACAGGAGAAAGAATTTCAGCCACATGAAGTTAAGGACCTGCTAGTAGAAGTGCAGATTGTCAGACATGTTGCAGTTAGAAGATAAAAGATCTAAGCTTCTGAAATATCACTCAGCAGGAGGATTAGACAAATTTTGCAAAGAGGAAATATGAAAAACTTTCAGGAAGCAGCACTCTGTTTGGCTTCAAAGTAACAAATCAAAGACTAAAGCACTCTCTATAAGTCATCCATGAATGTTATAATGGCTATGCTAACCGTTGACTCTGATTAGTTTCAGCATTGTCACATTGTAACCTAGAAATCAAAATCATATTGAGGCTTCCACCACTAGGTGAGTAAAGCAACCACCGAGGGAATAATTAAAAAGTACATAAACCGGACCATGGATTCATTTCCTTCACCATATTGTATAAATTTAGCTATCACAAAAGCAACCAGAAACAACATAATTACTGAACCTTCTTTTATCTCTTGCATAACACAATTACAGGATGACTTATTTGCCACATTGCTATTCCAGCTAGGAGTAACATTTGCGATTCTTGCACTACTTAAAGAACCTTGGCCCTTTGAAGGATGACGCCATATCTGAGCTGGGCATGTTATGGAAATTGGTAATTGAAATGACGAAATGTTGAACAATAATGCTCTGATATTACAATAGCTCTTAAAGTATCACCAATTGTGATCTTTTAAAACTTGCATCCACTTATTGATGTAATGGACAATATCCTGATATGTCAAACATGTGGTTGATAAACTTTGAAGATAAGTTTGATGTATGTTTTTTAGGAGTTTACATTATATTTGGAAGCAAAAGTACAGTTGATAATACAAATTGATATTGGTCTTTATAGACCTTGCTTGGAAATGAATAATATAATTAGGTCTGGTTCAAATCCAAAAAAGCATAAAATCATTCATCACAGTTACCATTTAAACATTTGAAAACTTTGTTACTGATTTTTGTTGGCATCCTTAGCATTTCATGTCCATAGTTTCAAAAACCCCTTAAGCTTGTATATGATTTCCAATTTATATCCAGCATGCACCCGAAATACCCATCAAACTTACTAACCTTTTGTCTTACAATGAGGTCACTGTTTCTAGGAAAAGAAGTCCACATATTCTTTTGTAGTATGATAATAGAACAACATGGTATCAGATAACAAGTAGACAATTCATTAATTCTCACATCATCAGAACCATAATTACAATAGATATCAGCACTTACCCCGTAACCAATGATAAAGTTGTCCATAGGAGTTAACTGTTTCCACATACCACTAAGAAGCGAAATCAAAAAATCAATCAGACATATACCATTGAATAAAATTGAATAACAGAAGTATCGCCATCCTTAATCGTGCAAACCACTAACCTGATGGCAAAAGCATTGTAGTAAAAGAAATGTGTCATTAGTTCCATCAGGAAAAGGCTTAGAATCCACCGGAATCCATACCATACCACTTGTTTAGATGAGTAATTCTTTTGAGGAGTATCCAACTGAAATAACAATATATCATGTTAGGATCCTGCAAATCATAAACTTCATGTTGATTTATGAATCCTCCAAAAGACATATTTCATATGATTCGCAAGTTGAGGTACATTCCAATTACAAGTAGGGAATTCCAATAAAAATCTGTGAATGTCAGATAAGAGTTAAAAATGGAATGTGGGCTTTTTTTACTTTCAAATTAATTTCTAGGAGTCTAGCCATTACAGACTACTCATTTCGCAATCTGCACTGAATGATATATTGCCATGACAGCAAAAGACAATAACTAATTAAGTTAGAATGAGATAATGCAATATATAGCATGTTAAGGAGGAATAGTAATTATAATCCACCAAAAATAAATGCTTGCAACAAGCTAAGAGAAAAGAAATTTAAATGAAAACCACATTAAAATCACCAACCTGTGAAGCAAATGCATTAAAGCTAATAATTGGTCCAGCAATATAAAGAGGTGCATACACCAGATAACACAAGTACACAGCAAAAGAGAATTTGTCATTCTGTACACTTCTCTCCTGACAAAGATGGAAAGAAATTCAAAACAATATTCATTTTTTAAAAAAATTTGACCACAGCTGTATCACAGATGAGTGTATAACAACTCAAGCAAAACAGTAGAAGACCTGTAATGACATATAGCATATCTTTCCGGATGTACAAGTACTGCAACGTTGGATGTGCTTCTGTCATGACCAGCAAATCAAAAATTAAAAAGGAACTCTTTTGAACCTTGACAACATATCTAACTAAATGAGAACCTAATACAAGAGGCATTATCACTTCAATATAGGTGAAAGACTTGACAAACTTTACTCGACTTTAGATGTAAAGTTACATAAATGTTACCCCACCCACTGCATTGGAGAGGCGCCTGGGTAGTGGGCCCTAAAAACTACAAAATGCCAATCGCTACATAGACAATCTAGGCAATGAAATAGAGAAACATCATATATCCGTGACTCCAAAACATGCACCTCTTGATCAAATCGATTATTTTGGTCCATCCAGTGGTAGTCATAACCATAGCTTATCATGCGCAATACAACTGGCAAGAGAATGAACAAAGAAACGTTAAAAATTAAACTAAAGAAAGGAATCAATTTTCCATTTACAAATTTGTGGAAGCCATAACTTGAAAGAATTAAAAATGTAAATTAACAGCAATCATGAAATAAACATTTTCCTCTCTAGAATCTGTCTCAAACTAAAAACTCTATCATTGAAAAAAAAAAAAAAAAACTCTTAGGCCCTTCAAAATTTCAGATAGCAGCTTGAATAAAAGAATGTATTTGCATGCAGACCCCCTCCCTCAAAAAATCACTCTTCAGTCTTCATAAAACACATAATTAGTTGTGTGCTTCTATGAGATTAATGCATCACCTAGAAGACAGTGCTTAAACTGTGATAGCATTCTTATCTTTACTAAATGTTATAATAAGGACAAGAAGATAATCGAGTAGTCAATAGAGCAGCCAAAAAACTAGAGTATGGCTATTTACGAATTCAATTGCTCAATCTGTTGTCTACCTTTGAGGTTCAATTTCAAAATTATTGACCTTAAAGAAGCATCACAAACCTACTTTTTGAAGCTAAGATAATTGAGTTCTACCTCCAATGATAGGTCAGTAAAACATGTAAAAGAGTGTGCCCAAATTGAGCATTGATACCAACCAATCCAGTCTGGTTTCAATACATTAAACTGATATATGCAGGATCATGTTTCCTTGACACATTAATCATCACTTGATTTTGTTAACAAGGTAGAAAAAAAAAGAAGAAAATACTAGTAATTGGTTTCAGTTTCAAATAGAAAAGGGAAAGCACATACCAAAGTTAAAGCAGATATGCCATCTAAAGGTACCACGAAAGTTGTCCAGGAAAGCCCAATGTTGCCTGTTCATGAGAACCACCGCCATAAGACAGTTCAGTAGCTAAATATACCTTCACTGGATTAAAGTGACTATTTTAAATCCTATGGAACTTGAAAGTGAACAATGCTACTCACCCAAAACTGGAGAATTGATATCCTCCATATACACGATTACAGACCAGAAATGATAAATTGAAAGTCCAAAGCAAGTACGAGAATATTTTGTCCTGCCAAATATCTGCAAAAGTGAATATCTGGTAAACAAGAACTGTATCAGAAGACTCATGTTAAGCTCAATGCCTTTTTGAAGAGTGCACCATCAAAGCATGAATACCAATTCTGAAAAACTCTGTATGTTATATCATAATATGAATAGTAAACAACATCAACTAAAATGAAAATACTCTTTCAAAAGAAAGTAAGACATTTTCGTGTGTTCCTTCATAAAAGAATTATTGACATAGAGAGCTAAAGTGAAGAAGTAAACATCATTTATGCAAAAGTGACTTCCTACGTTCCTAAGAAAGAGAATTAAAAGTGCAAACATTTGAGTTACTTTAACTAGCAGAAAATTCAAAATTTCTACAGAAAATAAAATCCATAATGCAATGTTTTAAATCCCAGCAAAATAAAGCACTGGTTCAAACATAAATATTTGAAATGGCATAGCTCCAGCAGTACATAATTATCATTAAAACTAAAAATTATGAGGATGCACTATCTTGGGAACCGTAATTGCTGAATAACGGAAACACAAAAACTGTATACACCTTCATATGAAGAAGTTCAATGGAATACAACATTTGACGACATACCTTGACAAGCAAAAAATTGGCTGAAGCAATGGTGAGAATAAATATGATGCTACATGGCAAAAGAAATTCAAAATGTCAGAAAGGAGAACCAATATTTCCACAGCATGTAGCATAGGTATCAATATTGCCATAAATAAGGAACATACCAAGCTCCGTGTAGATATGATAAGTATGCCAAAGAAATTAGGAGCCAAACATATGCCATGCCTTTCGCCCTTAAACAACGGTAGGTTCTCAATACATTAGCTACAAGTGTAAAAATTCCAAAAACTACAGTAAGAATTTGTAGATTCCCTCGAAAGTTCCTCCACTGGGCATCAGAGGCATCCTGAAGAGGAAAAAGAGCAAAGGTGAAGCCTACATTAGGCAAAGAAACTTTTAATTTAACTGTTGAAGTGTATTAACAGGGAGGCAATGGAATAAGCACAGAAATAAAACATATGAAATAGATTTCTAGAAAATTTTCCTACCTGCAGAAGAATAATGATTTACTGACAACAACTTCAAAAGTCAAATTATGATAACTTGAACTCTACATTGCAACCTTACAACTCCTCATTCACCAAACTTGAATCATCTAGGTAATCATCCAAGTCCATTTCACTTTCAAGCTCTAATTTAAGCCAACAGGGGAAAAAAAGTGAGATTGATATTTTGTCACAACTCAACACCAAAACCTCAGGACTCGAGCATGACTTAGATAATTTAAATATAAGTCCTTGAGAACAACATTTGTTTACACAATTAATTCAATTACTCAACGCTCAATACTAAAATTTGAGTTCAAGCTTTGCTTAGGGCCCCAACAAAACATTCAAAGAGATCGTTTTCATGCTGCAGCACAAACAGACGCACATAATAATCAGCCAGAGCTAGAAACCAAACTTAATGAGATCAAAATAGTCAAGATAAGCTCAATGCTTGGATCAGCTCAGTACTAAGCCAACAACACAGATATTTAAACAAAAAAAAAAAAAAGAAAACTTAGCTGATCATAGTTCATGCAAAATGCTTTTGAATGCCACGATAGAAAACTCAAAAACACAAAAATAGTAAGCTGTTGCACTAAAAAGGATTACTCTAACCCAAAAAAAATAAAAAACTAAAATTTGCATACATTTAGGCGATTAGCGATCCAGCCAGGACGTAAACCATAAAGCTTGGTATAGTAATCTGCAATTACAAATCAACCATATCAGTAAAAGAAAAATGTGTAAATAGCGCAGGCGATGAATTAAAGTAATTTTGCAAATAAGCTCGACATAAATAGAGAAATGGGGGAGGGGGAGAGTAAAGCACCATGGGAGAGTTGGAGAGAGCGACGGATGACAAAAGCGTAGAAGGCAACGGCATAAACAATCAGAAATGCAAGCTCTCTTCGCCGCCAATTGCTCTCCGTCATCGTATTTTTATTGGACGCGGAATTAATTCCAACGCGCCGGAAAAATTCTAAGATCGCTCGGAAGAATCTCAAACGCCGGAGATTGTTTTTTGTTCAAGTTGTTTTCAAACGTCAAAACTTTGCAAATTGCTGCAACGACGACGTTCTTATGACTCAGAGTTCAGGTGATGGAATAAGTGTGGGATAATTTCATAAACCTCCCTTGAGGTTTTTCATAATATAACTTGTCTCCACTGAATTTTTCAAAATCTCATTTAAATCCCTTAAATTGACATATCTCGTAACATTTTAAGTCATTTGAAGGAAATACAAAAAATAAAACTTTTGTATTACCCATGATTTTTGTCATCTCACCACATCCCGACATCGGTAAATATGAACCATTGTTAGATATTAATTTATTTTTTTAATCTACATATTTTAGTTTCAAATTTTATTTTATTTTATTTTTGGTTAAATAGTTATTAACAGCAAGGGTAATGTTATTAATTTGTTATATTTGATAGGAATATTTAGTCTGGTCAAGTTGATAGGAATGATAAGTAAAATTTTAAAAATTTTAGAAATGCTGAATGATATTGTAGAAATCAAAGGGAAGGTTTCTGAAATTATCTTAAGAAGTACTTATTTAAGTGCAAATATATACGATGTCGTTTTCTCCTTTAAATATTAAATTAATATTTAATAACGAATTGGGAGATTTGGCGCGTAGAAGTTGGCTTTCAAAGTAAGCTACTGGGTAGCGTTGTCCAAACCGCTTAGCCTGAATTTAAAGCTAACCTATACTGCAGAACTCTTCACCGTCTCTATATATAGGGAAGAGAAGAAGAATCCGGTGGAAGGGACCCATTTCATCACCAGATTCTTGTCAACGTCTCTACCCTTTTTCCTACAACACAAAAGAAGAATATGAATATCCCACCAGTTTCTTGAATCCCTCAAGTATCTCTCTCTCTCTCTTTTTTATCACGTTGTTTGATCAACTTTCTTGTCAAGAGCCTTTTCATACGAGAATCAAACAAGATGTTCAATTCTTCTCCAACAACATATTATTGTAAGTTCTCTCCTCTTTTCTTTTAAATTCTTGTTGTGTTTCTGCTCTTCTATCGTGTAATTGTAAGTTAAAAAGGGATGTATAATTTTTTTTGTACTTTCTTGCATTCGGCGTTGTTTACCCAAGAATCTGCCAAGTATCTTCTTCTTTTTTTACTTGTTCTGATTCCGTCTTCGTTGTTCTTCAATGCCTTTACAACAAAGACTAATTACTTGGTGGTTTTTCGTTTCCTTTTCTTTTCTTTTTTTTTTTTTCTCTTGAATGAATTCCGGAGGATTGAAAATCCTGCTTTACGTACTTCACTCCTATCTTGACTAATTACTTGGTTTGTTTTTCTCTAATCAACAGCATTCGGATTCGGCCAATCGGCAAGTGCTGCCAGCCCTTTTGGGTGTCAATCAGGTTTTGGGGCAAACACGGACTTAAGCAATTCGAACCCTTTTGCGCCAAGTGGTGCAACTCCTTTCGCTGCATCAACAGGGGCAACCATGTTTGCTGGAAATTCGACGACAGGGGCAGGTGCATTCAGCCAGCCTGCTATTAGCAGCACCCCATTTGGTCTGCTTCAGTATTTGGGCAAACCACAGGATCATATGCTACTGCAACTGCTTGTGTTAGCGCATCAACAGGGCTAGCTACGCCGTCCGCAAATTCAGCAGGAAAGAAAAGAAAATAAAAATCTGCTTTGTTTTTACATCTTATTATTCTTGCTAATGCGATTTCTGTTCCTTTAATTTATCGCTTAAAGAAAGATTAATTATTTGTTTTGTGTGTTTCTGTTCCTCTGAAGAACAGGATTCGGCCAGTGGACCAACAGCAGCCCTTCTGGGTCTCAATCAGTATTTAGGCAGGGTAGCAACTCATGCAACAATAACTTTTGTGGCACTGCTGCAACCCTTTTGCTACATCAACAGGGGGAAGCATGTTTTCTGGGAATTCAAACGGTGCATTTGGAGCATCATCCTTTGCTTTTGGAAGTTCAGCATCATCCACAACTGCTCCTTTCTCAACCACCTTTGAAACTTCAGCCTTGCCTTCTACGGGTCAGTATTTTTGTAAGAATACATGTTTTATTACGGAATTTTCATTGTTAATTGAATATGAACTAGCGGGCTGTTTTATGTTTGAATGGTCACTGTTAATTATACTACGGACTTACATGCTCTGGCAAATAATCCTTCAATTCATACGCTATTTTGGTTGATGGATTTAGTCTTCCAATCATTACCCCTTAAATATCAAATTGCCTCAGCTGTACAAAAATTTGCACTGGGAATTTGTATTGTTGTATGCTTTCTTTTCTGTTTTTCATTGTCTTAAAAAAGTAACTACCCGTTCTTCTAGCTTAATGCTGCTGATTATGACTTTTGCTTTGCATGTTTACTTATTCAATGAAAAATGAAGTAAAATATCTCTAATTGGATTTTGCTAATGACAGTTTTTAGCCAGGCGCCTAGCAGTGCACCTGTAGTATCTCAATCAGCATTTGGGGAAGTCAGCAAGTTTGACGTTAACAATTCTTTTTCCTCCAAACCAGTCACAGCAACTCCTTTTGGTAGCATCAGTGGAGGAGCAATATTTGGTGGAAATTCAACATCCAAATCACCATTTGGAGTAACTTCATCGCCTTCAACATCCAAATCACCATTTGGTGAACCATTACCATTTTCTTTTGGAATCTCGTCAACTACAACAGGTACCGTTCCATCTGAGGCTCTGGAATATCTTCCCAGCATTTGAAATATTTTTGTGTTTATATCCAAAAATGAACATGAATTCAAGGTTCTGTCAGCCCACATTGATTTCTGGTTCAGAGGGTCATACCTTCTAGATAGAGTTACATGATGTATTTCATCCACAATCCAGAGTTAATACGATGTATTTTAAGAATTTGTTGATAGGTCCAGTAAATGGCAAGAAACCCTGAACTTTTCAAAATTCGGTTTTTTCACTCTTTAGGTATTTTGAAACTTTAACTAGAAAAGTTACAAAAGCAAAACTATTTTATGATATTGTAAGGCACAAGGATCTCAATTTGTCATATTGAAACTTCAAAACTGTTTTATTTCTCTCATCCATTTTAACTTGAGTGAACTGTTCTCAGGCAGCTGGGAGAGAAAACAAACTACAATCGACAAAAGAAAGTTACTTTTTTTTTTTGTCAGCAAGATACATTTGTATAACCTACTCTATCCTAATCTAGGGGAGAGGGAGAACCTAAGGAGGCTGTTGTAGGGGCTAGTCGGTATACAGATCCAACTAGACCAAAGGAGTGTTATGGCACAATTCTTAAATTTTTTTTGCTGCAGGTGAGATTTGAACCCTTACCTATAGCCCAAGGAGGGACCAGTGGTACGACAAAAGAAAGTTACTTCCCTAGCATAATGCCAAAAGGTGGAAGAAGAACTTTGTCCTGCCATAGAAAACAAGATCCACTTGGCAAAAGAATGTTTCTTCCATCACGTAAAGCCAAAGAGTGGAATAAGTGTTCCATATATACATTTGTTTGCTGCCAATTGGCCCAGATGGCTTTTAAAATTTCGTTTCGACTCACACAGTTTTCAAATGAAATGATTTTTCCATGGGGGAAAGTTAGGTTTCTTATTCAGCTGACCTTGGTGTAAATGATGCAAAACTTTAGCTTCATGTTTAGGATTATTTGATTCTTGTCTTTTTGTTTTTTAATTGGAGCTTCTAGCTTGTACTTAAAATGAAAGTATGTGTCACACTAATCATCAAATCTTATCTTGTAGAAACAGATATTCGGTGCATCTTGTGTATTTTTTTTCCTTTATAATCTGTCTAATTTGATCCAGAAATGATTATATACTATATCTGACTTTACGTGAAATGCTTATTTGTGATCAAGTTCAGGGATATTCATCAATCTGACTATATGTGAAATCCTACTACAATAAAATTCTGAACCAGAATCTGTCTAATTTGATCCAGAATCTCTGCCTCTATGGAACACTTTTTAAAAAATTTAAAAAAAAGGCTTATTTTAGTCAATTTCCTTTTAGTCTTATTTTCTACGACCTGGCATGCATGCTTTTAGTCAATGCTTAGCAGTAGTTTAATTGTGTAAAAACATGGGGTTTGTTTGGATTGTAAGTTATTTGGGATATTTTTACTGTAGCACTTTTTGTGACGTGATGCATGTGAGATAAAAAGGTAATTGGAAAGATAAAAAGGTGTGTTGGAAATTGTAATGATGATGTAAGCAAATAAAATTGGGGAAATAATGCTCAATCCAAACAAACCCAATAATCACGTCACAAAAAGTGCTACAGTAAAAATATCCAAATAATGTACAATCCAAACAAACCCATTGTTCCAACAGATACTTTCACTTTATCCTAAACCCATTCTAAACTCGTTCTCTTTTCATTGTTTGTTAACTATTTGTTGATTGCTTGCCATTTTCAGGAGCACCTATCTTCAACAACATTGGAAGTTTGATTCAACCTTCTCAATCTAAATCAACTAACCATGCCTTTTATTCATCAAGTCAATCTGTTTTTGGGAGCAGCGGTGTGCTGGCATCTGGCATAAGTACTTCGGTTTATTCTGGCTTTCAACATGGTGGCTCTTGCTCAAGGCCACCATTTAGCTCTACTGGCCTTGCTTTTAGTTCAAATGGTGCACCTAACAACTTTAACTCTGTATCTCGGGGTGCAATTGGATCTTCCACCACTCCCATAACTGGAGCCCCTAGCAACTTTAACACTGTAGCTTCAAACAACCCTGAACTGCAGAATTCAAGGTTCACATTTTGCCAGCCAAATTCGCAATTTAGTGAGCCAAATTTACAATTTGGTAGTAACAATGGACCTACTGCTTGGGAAACAAAAAAGTTCTATTCAGGTTAGTTCTATTTCTGTTTTTCCTATTAGTTAAAAATTAAAACATAAAATAACAACTTTCAGTAAGATATAGCACAGATACTTCAACACATTGGATATGATCCATTGTAGAATAAATAATAAGTTTCAGCTTTAACTTTTTCTACCATGCAGGATATCAACCGGCAAGTACAAGCATGAAATCTGGACAATCAGTTATGGATTGCCAACGTTATGGTAGTAAAATAGCATCTTCTGTTGCAACTAAGGAAGTGGATATAGGTAGTACTGAACCTGCTGGAAAATTGTTCTCCATCTCTGCCATGCCCTTTTACAAAGACAAGAGCCATGAAGAGCTGAGGTTCGAGGACTCTAATCAATTGTTAAGGAGTAAAGGTAAGTATAAGGTCATATAGTTGTTTTTGTCTGATGATCTCTACTTTTGTTCCCGATAAAGACTTTATGAACATTCCTGCAGCTGCATTTGTTCCACAACATCTATTACAACATGTTTAGCATCAGCTTTGCCTGCCTCTAATTCTGTTACATCTTCAGATGCAGCTTCTGGATTCATCTTTCAGTCTAATCAACCCTCAGCTGGCAAGACAAACGCTTTTTTAGGGCCTACTGCTGTCACTCCACATAGTCAACTAAAAACATCAAGTGCAATATCAATTGTATCAGGACCTTGGACAGGCAATTCAACTGGTTTTTCTTATATTGGTGACCAATGTCGTGGAAGTAAAATAGCATCTTATGTTGCAACTAGGGAAGTGGATATAGATAGTACAGAACCTGCTGGAAAATTGTTCTCCATCTCTGCCATGCCCATTTACAAAGTCAAGAGCCATGAAGAGCTGAGGTTCGAGGACTCTCATCAATTCATAGGGAGTAAAGGTAAGTATAAGTTCGTACAGTTGTTGCATTGGTCTGATGATCTCTACTTTTGTTCCCAATAAAGACATTATCATCTGTCCTACAGATGGACTACTTTCTCAGCATCTTTTACAACATCTTTAGCATCAGCTTTGCCTGCTGCTAATTTTTTTTACATCTTCAGATGCAGCTTCTGGATTCATCTTTAAGTCTAATCAACCCTCAGCTGGCAAGACAAATGCTTTTTCTGGACCTACTGTTGTCAGTCTCGATAGTCAATCAGAATCATTAAGTGCAATATCAACTGGGACAGGATTTTTGACAAGCAATTCAAGTGATTTCATTTGGCCAAATGTAAATTACTATCAACTGGCTTGAAAATATTCCATGTGTTCCTATTTTCATTTTATTTTCCCAAAAATCGTACCCATAGTTTTCTCTTTGTTTATGGTTGGTGATTTTGTTCTACTGCTACTCTGTGAGTGGTTAGCACAAGTCTGACTTGAGTTGGTTCTGCTCTTAGGAGTTCAAGAGATGCCTTGCCCTGACATGGATTTAGAGGTCCAAGATTTGTCTCATTTGTCCTTATTGGAATATCTGGAAAGAAAGAAAAGTAATAGTTTGTTAAGATGTTGAATTTTGAGTGATTAAGTTCAAGAGCTTCGGATAAGTTACAAAATGTGAATAAGAAAAAATTAACTCGTTTACTTGGTCTTTGGATACCCATCAATTTATCTTTGTTGCTGTTGCTTTATATGTCACTAAAGTTTAGTTTGAAATGCTATTTAAGCCTCTTTTTCATAATGATATACTGAAAGTGGAAAAGAGATACAAGGGAGAACAGACGTAAACTATGTATTTTTCATCAAGTTTGTGCTCCTAACTATGTGCTATGTTTGCAGCATGAACCAATTACAACTCCACAGATAACTCAAATTGTTGTAGCAACAGATGGCGCTTCCACTAGCATCTCACAACAGTCAATTTCCAGTAAGAGCAATGTTACATCTAAAATAAATTGTTCTCTGTCATCAGAGACAAATTTTCCTTTGTTCCATGTGACTGATAATTACTCTTTTCTGTGCTACTCAATAAGCTATGGATGCAGGAACTTGTCGTCAGAGTGGTGGCATGCAGCAGTACGTATTGCTGAACTATTTTCATGCTTCTATTAGATCGTTTTCCGCAATAGTCTGCTAAAACTCCAGCAAGTTCAGTAAGTTGATCACTTATTACTTTGCTTGTGATTTTTTTCGTCAAAACAAGAAAACAGAGAACCATTTCTTTTGTTCACCAAAGCATTTTATGTTAAGATAATCATCACAGGAACCATTCTGGTTTAATTTGTTCTATGTTTTCTTTCAACTGGCACACTGGACTTAATAAACTGATAAGCACACTTTGGAGAGCAATAAAGTATTTAATCTCAGTTATGACTTAATTATGAACTAATAAATTTTTTTTAAAGTCACTTGCAGCCATTCTTTTATCCATTGATTTCCTATCCTTTAACTTGTTCTTAGAAATAGTGAATGCTGATATTATACTTCCACTCACGTGCATTAAATATTGATTTTCCACTGTATAAAACTATAAATCGGCTGACGTATACAGTATGATTTCAGGTCTGAGTCTCAGAGCACCATCGCTCTAGACCCATCTGTTGTTGCAAGTCCTTTTGGAATGGAGTCTAGAATACAGATATCAATGGGTGGTAGAGCAGCAACCACAACTGTTCAATATGGAATTTCTTGCATACCGGTTAGTCTTATTTCTGACACCAGTATGTGTACCTAACAGGGAAAATTAATCTTCAAAACTGCCATGAATCTAATTATTTCACATATTTCTTCTCCTACAAGCTTATAGAAATATGATAAAAAAGAAGTCAATCTGGAAGGACGTTTATTTTGCTTCATGTAACTTCTTTTTCTTTGTGCAATACAGGTATCTGACAAACCTGCTCCAGTGAAAAGAAATTCATTGTTGACTGCTAGATGTTTGTCTCTAAGCCAAAACTGGCCATTAGTTGAGAAGTACCGGCCTAAAAATGACAGCCAGAAGGTGAGATTCATGATACTGGACGAGCGTGTTCAAATCAATATGGGCAAGCTAGACAATTACATGGTAAAGATTAGAATACATATTAGAGCTCTTTAAATTTTAAATTTTGCTCTATGCATCACAGGTTCCATTTTATGAAGAAAAAGTACCTGGATATACAAAGTTGGCGCTTCCTTTATTCCAAGGGAAAATGCAAGATCTTGGGTTCTAAACTCCATGGTGGAGCGGCCTCTAAAAACAAATTCACGGAATTCCTCTTTACTGGAGGAGTCCGTATCTGCATCTGAGAGTGGTATGCATAAAATTTTCATTTTGTTCATTTGAAATGTGGTACATCATACTAATTTGCATATCTGGGCTGGAAAAGAAGCTGTTAAATTATGGCCATCATGTTTGATTAATTAAAAATTAGTAACTAGTGATTTCTTCCCTTTGTTCTTTGGTTAGAGGAGAACCGTATGCCTCTCTTGTTGTTTGGGAAGGATGAATATACCGGTCCTGCATGCATCTACTTAGGTTTGATGAATATTCCACTTCTTAACTTCCTACTTTTTGATTATGTAGGAAATTTTGAGGCTGATGTTGAAGCAATACTGCCAAAACTCCAATGCCCAGATTATTATATAAAGCCTCCGGTCGAGGAGCTAGCTGCAAAAGAAAGGGCTGAACCAGGATTCTGTCGCCGCGTGAAGGAATTTGTGGTTGGAAGAGAGGGTTATGGAAGCATCAGGTTTTTAGGGGAAACAGATGTGAGAAATCTTGACGTTGAATCTGTTATCCAGCTTAACCATCGAGAGGTGATTGTATACAGGGACACGACCAAGAAACCTCAAGTTGGACAAGGCCTCAACAAGCCTGCAGAGGTATCTCTTCTCAATGTCAAATGCATCAACAAACGTACTGGGAAGCAATACGCGGAAGGAACAAGGGTTGATAAGTGGACAGATATGCTGAAAACGAAGGCAGAAGAGCAAGGTGCTGAGTTTCTATCTTATAATCCAGTAACTGGTGAGTGGAAATTCAGGGTCCAACACTTCTAAGGTCAAAAGATGGTGACCAGCAGCTGAGCTGATCACAAAACGGGGAGTCAGAGACGTTTGAGCCCATAGTATAGGACGTAATGCCTTGAATAGCTTGGCATTTACCATTTTCTGTTCTGTTTTTCCCATCTTTGGTAACATGATTTCTGCTGATATATTATTGCTGGTCTTCAATTCGTTATAACTTGACTGATGAGTTTGTTCTTCGTCGAAGCTTAAGCACCAGACTGGTTTGTAGTTTTTATGGGCTGCGGATATTGTAAAAACAGTTGGTTGCCAATCAAAATTTCACTTACAATTTGTATAACACCTTATGAATGGAGAAGAAAATAAATATCTAAATGCTCATTTTAATCACCTGATCCCAACGTCTGCTGACTCATTTAATCTCACAGCTTAGAAAGTTCACGTGCGATGAGAACTACCATGGCTATGGCTAGGAGATTCTTCTTGAAAATATGAATGTTTTTATTTTTGAGAGAACATATTCGTATCTTGCTTTTGAAAAGAGACCATGTATTAGGTAGAAAGTCTTTGTAAGTCGCGACTTTCTGCAAGTGCCAGTCCTGTTTCCATCCCAGTGCCACGTTTGAGTAAATTGCGGAGAATTGAAAGTTAGATGGGGTGCAGTGATCAAATCGAAACCTATGGGGAGCAAAGCAATAATATTAGCGAGTGCACAGTTCATGGAGAAATTTCTCTATTTTTTCAAGTAAATTTTAAACTCAAGCGCATAGTTTTCTATTTTTCAAGTGAGTGCACACACAGTTGATAGAGAGATTTCTCTATTTAAACTCCTCCATATCAATCTATTGTGTTTGGTTTTGGAGAAGGATCACCAATCAATGTACCATTGTAACCCTTTATCTATCTTTATCAAGTTGCACATTTGGTTTTGGATCATTGAATTCATGTGAAGTATAATAAGACCAGTACATTTGGTTTGGGAAATAAAAGATTTATTTCTTTTATATTTTTATTATTATATAATTATTAGGACTCTAGTTCTTAGTTTACACCATTGTAACATCACTATTTTTGTCCTTTGAACATGCAATAATTTAGCCAAAAAAGAAAAAGTTGTATTTTCATCAACTAATGATATGTGTAGTATGAATGGCTAAATGATAGGCAATTCTCCAACGCATTCAACAGTACAGGGAGTGTGCCTTCCCCCCCCCCCCCCCCTTAAATCTGACCTTATTTCTGATAACGGAATTCGAATAATTTCTTTGGAGACAATCGTTTCTACTTTCTCTTCTCAAGCGTTTGAAGCTTAAAGGATGGTATACTATTTTTCTTGTGAATTAGTTACCAGCCAGGCTTCAAAGAATGAGATTGTCGTTTTATGCTTTACAAATCGGATGATAATGTCGGGGATAATGTTGGGGATTAAGAGAAATTCGCTACTTGATTCAGCGGCCTTGATTCATTCTACATCACCAAAAGGGACGCTGCAGGCATCCGGTTACTTCATGCCTTTATGGCCTCAATATGCCTGCATGACTAGTCATTTTCGAGAAAACACATCTTGTTCTTTCTTTCCAGACAAAAATACATCAAGAAAATGAAAAGTGCAGCACCGTCGGCAAGAAAAAGTAAGTTGTAGTGGGGCCAATCTAAGCACCATCGACAAGCTAATTCTTATTCCGGGCTTGCGAAGAATGGCAGCCGTAGTGGGGTCAATTCACCGGAACCACATGTCAGTTCGGATATGGTGATTTGTTAGCTTGGTCAGGTATGGAGGCCAGTTTGCCCATGCCCGCCGCCTCCTCACTAGTGGACACAAAACTACTGCTAAGAGTCCTATAAATATAGCACAATAAGACAATACAATGTACACCATTTATAGTAGTCAATACCATAGTTATTAAACCCGGCCTGCTCGACGGTCGAACCGGTCAAACTGGTGGACCAATCATTGGACCGGACTGGATTTGGAATCAGATCGTTTGTACAAAGAGACCGTTGATTTAGTCAATGACCCGGCGGTCGAACCGGATTAAATCGGAAACCCGGCCGGTTTTGGCCGGTTTTGTCACTAACCGGATTTTGTGGAAAAATTGTATTGCTGTTGTTGGAACTCGAATTTCGGACCTCTGCCCCAACACTGCCGCCTGCTTACCACCAAACTACTTCCAAATATGTTGTCATAGCAGCTTTATTATGATATATAAATGTTTTTTCAATTCTATCTTTTTTCTTTAAAACAAATTTATTTGGAATCTTTTAATAAAAATTTATTACCCTCCAAACTCTATAAGTTATAAAATGGATTCCAAAAATAACATATTACATAATTCATTTAAAGACAAATATTATTTTAATAATTTTTTACACTTAAAATTCATAAATAAGCTAGATAATTACACTAAATATAGATAAAATTTTACATTTGAAGTTTGGTATATTAATAAATAACTTTATATTTGATTGATTCTTATATGAATTAATTATTTTATAACAAATTAAATTAAATGAACTTTTGTTATGACATTATTTATTACAATTTATATCATATATCTTATATAAATAATTATGAAATATAATATTTAAATATATGTAGTGACCCACCGGTTCAACCACTCACCCACCGGCCCACCTCCTTCGCCGGGTTCCTTCCCGGGTTGGGTTTAATAACTATGGTCAATATCATTGCTCTATTCGTAGCTATAACTAACTTGATCGTCGGAATCACAACGGAAAGCTAGTCCCGCCGCTCATTCTTTTGCAGGTCAGTTCTGGCTGCCATTCGCTAACGCCAGTTCGTTCCTCTCAGTTCGCTCAGTTTGCTAGCTCTATTCAGATCGCGTTCTCAGCAGTCACATCAATTGGCGCTGTCTGTGGGAATAAAATCTTTCTCTTGCGAAACATGTCAATAACTAGGGGCCTGTTTGGAACCTGAGTTTTTTGGGAGTTTGTCTAAAACTTTACTGTAGATCATTGTAGAAGTAGTAGAAAAAACTTTTTACTGTATAAGTTTTCTAAAAACTTTACTGTAGCAATTTTTTAAATTTTTTAACAAAATTTTTTTTAGGTGTTAAATATTAACTTCCCTCCCTAATTTTTTTTTTCCCTTTATCCAAAAATTGTGACCTATATTACTGTATCAAAATTAGGATTACATTTTTGTCAATCCGGAAGCCAAGTTGCTTTCCACCCAGAAGCCAACTTCACCTTTTTCACTTCATTTGGTCATCTTTGCCTCCATGTCCAATAGCTACACACAAACAATTAAATTCTATTATCCATTGGCAATCTCATTATTCAAGTTCATTCGTCTAAAAAATCATTGTCCAAGGCTTGTCTTTATCAAATGGAAGCTTGTCAAACTAATCTTGAAAAAGAAAAACTATTTCCAAAATCTCACAATTGCCGGGAAATTCACCAATCAAGCAAAAGAAACGCTTTCAACAACATCAAAGACAGCAAGAATAACAAGAACAAGTAACCCAAGGGACTCCTTAGCTGAACCTCACATCCCACCAAGACCAATCAAAGCCTTTAAAACTCCTTCAAATACTTGCTCAATCTTGTCCCGGAGCAACAGAGCAACACAGAGCAATCAATTATGTGAAAAACCTTTAATCAACGCAGCACCAAATTAATTCTCACAGACCAATGTTAAAGAATTAATTAACACATTACCCAAATTAATCAACACAGAGCTTTACCCTCTGTCCGAACTTGAGACCAAGTGTAACATTCCAATGGAGGGCAATTAACTCAGCCTTTCTCCAAATGTTGGCTTATTTAATACCAAAACAATAAAGAATCAATTAGCGCAGTACGCCATACAAAGTGACTAATCAACAAAAAAAAAAATCCCAAAAATTGCTTCTGGAATGCCGCGGTTTCAGAGGCAAAAAATCGATGCGTGCCTTCCTCAAATCTAAGTTACTGGCTGAAGAAAACTTACCTAAATGGAATGCCGCGGTTTCAAATCTAAGCAGATGGATATTTAATTCCTGGATATTAATCCATGGATTTTCCTCGTCAAGTTTCAAAGCCAAAGGGCACTAATTTATTTCACAGAATCCAGGATTGATTCCTGGATAAATGCACAGGGACTTGTATTGTTCTTCAAACCCTTGCCAATCTAATCAGTACCCATTAGAACTTATCGGACAGACAGTAACATAATTTGATTTGGGGATACATGAACTAGGCCTTGTTTTGATTGCAATTTTTCTTCAAAAAACTTTTATGTTTTTTGCAAATACATTTCTTAGTAATCTCTTGTATTTCATATCTATTAAATCATTATAATACATTTTTCTATAAAAACTCTAGAAAATAGCAATCCGAACAAGGTGGAATTTCACTTTTCATCACCTAATCCAAATGCTCAGAGAATGTATTGATGGTTTGATACCGTAGAAGACTACTACGCACTAATAATTGCTATCCATAACAACTAGGGATATCTTGTTGTCCTCTTCCCTTCCCTGCCTGCCGGGTTCTATCTTGTCCGTCCGTCATTGAACCTAGACCCCCAGCAATTCCCAATATTTGTCCGGTACCACGATGTCAATCGGGATTCCATTCATTGGAGCTAGTATATATTATAGCTCTTCCATTTTGTTTTTTTTTTTGGGATCAGAATTGCCTAATTATCTTGCCGTCCACAATTATCATCTCTTCCTTTTTGTTTTATGAAGTCCGCGTATGAGTCCACTAATTTTTCCAGACGAAATCGCAGACGAAGTTATCTTCAAATGAGTCCATTTTTGCATTTAGTTGTCTATTTTTAGCTGACGAAGTTATGTCCTTCCAAAAGATTAAACAAAAGCTGAAAAGGGGCCATTGTGCAATGCCGGCAAATTTCCCTCGTTCACTCACTCTGCTTACAAGTCTTTTCCTAGTAGGAAGCTTAGCCATAGTTTTCTTTTATACGTGTATGTATGCATCTTATATGTTAGACTTAGATGCAGCTACCAGAATTCCACGTTCTTTCATCCCTCCATGAAGCAAGAAATTAAGCCATATGTGTAGTATGA